ACCCAGCCAGGATGCGGCAGGGCACTCAGCACCCGCCGAAACAGTAAAATTACAAATAAAGGGATTATCATTATCAGTAATCCTGGATGTGAGGAAATCAGGTGGCTTGGGGCTTCTTCCCTCCTTATTCCCCAGGAGAAATAAATACAGATTCTGCTGGACATCCACAATATCAACCAGTGAAAAGAAAGTTCTGAGGCTGGGTGTGATAAATAGCATGCCATGCTCCCTCCTGCCCACAACTTTACCGAAAACAATCTTGCAAAGCCAATGAGATCGAATCAGACTTCTGCCTGACGGAGGACTATGCACACCCTGGGCAGCAGAAAGGGCCAACTGTAAAAGAGGGTCGGAGGCGGGGGCAGTGCTCCCACCGGTGACTGTCTCCCGGGGCTCCCTGTGCAGCGGGGATCGTGGGATCGTCAGTCTCCTCCAAAGCACCTAAATTAGGCTTCTGCCCATATTTTACCCCCCTATGGGAATGTGATTCCAATCAGAGCCAAGAAAGTACCAACTAACTGATCAGGTTAAATGAGATGCTGAACACTAGGCTGCAGAAAAGTATTATATATGTTCTCCCTAATAATAAAGGAGATTTTTCTGGGATCGTGACACCCATTGATAAGCCAAGAGAAATGTAGCTGGAGCAGGTGCTAATTCAACGTGTGCATCCCAGGGCAGGAACCTGAGCAGCAGAACAAGTCCCCGGCACTGCAACCGCATGGTTCGCAATACCCAGAACCCGTGGCTCTGAAGCACAGGGGGAGCCACGTGCCAACGCGTACGAGCAAAATGGATGGTTGATAAATACAAGTGAGACCATGGAGAGAATCTGGAGGTGAATTTCCAAATCTAATCAAATCTGAGATCTCTACCAAGGGGTTTTGTCATACTTGTAACAAGCATGATTTGGTTTTCTATTATATATTCATATGCTTCCATTCAGAACAACCTTGTTTCATTACAGTGGGTTCAGCTGTGCTTCACAGTCCTGCTTCATTTCTTCCAAGGCAAATTCTTCAGGAGATTAACCTGACACATTTATTCCCCCGATAATATATCCTGTCTTTTCTGATATCGTTACCAATTTCAAGCACATAGCAATAAATAGGCTTAAAATTTTTAAGGAGTAGTGACGTGAAAGCTTTCTTGTTCCCACATTTTCTTGGTACATCACATTTCACTTCACAAGCAGTGTTGTAAGATTCAGCTCAAGTAAATATAAAATAAATTATTAAGCTTCTAACCAAAAGCTTCCAGACCTAAACCCCCTCCCTGTTGGACTTGAAGAGCTCCAGCGCACGATACAGGTCTAACTGGAGTTCAAGTTTTAAGTAGCTCAAAGTGGCAATTGTTCTTTTCTAGGAGTTCAACATATTATTCTTACGCTTCATATGCACAGAAGACATTAGTGAAGATAAACTGTGCCACTGGTAATTGAAATTAAAGTTGCAACATCTATTACGGCAACATCCACTGTGCCACATTTCTAACACACAGAGAATGAAATGGCTTTTGCGTATGAAGCACCAATCGTGATGATACCCACTGGAACAAAATTGCATTAATTAATGTAATGAAATACATTTACACAACATAAAAGTTCCTAAAATTATTTACATTGCCATTACCATTCTTCTACCATCTTGACAGATACAATAAGTAAAAGCCCAGTGTAATTCTGGGAGATGTGCCTGAGAAAAGCACATCTTTTTCTAAAACTCAAAAATTTGCACAGCATTCACAGTAAAGAAACCTGTTCAAATATCCAGTTTGCAGCTGAAAATATTGATGTATATAATGTCTACTCATCTAAAAAGGAGAAATCTGCACGATCTTTGGAAGAATTCTTTGAAAGTAGCTTCCTAACAAAATTTCAGAAAATATCAAACATTTCTGAGATTTCAAAATTAGAATTTTTTATGAAATAATATGTAGATAAACTATATTGTCTTTGGAATCCAAGTAACCATTAAGTGATTACAGTAGCAAAAAAGCTATATTAAAAAGGCCACCAACAGAAAGAATATCCAATTTAAGCATGCTTCTGGGACCATACTTAGCATTCCAGCTCTTTATAAATTTCCTGCAAATCAGCAACTTTTTACAAGACTGTAAAAATTGCTTATCGTTATCACATCAGTAAACAAATGCTTTTCCAATATTTTAACTGATTAACACTGTAACTGCTAGTTTATGTCATATTAAAAAAAAACCCAAAACCAAAAACACCCAGAGATTGCATAATGTCTGACTGGGGTAACCATTTTTTTGGAGATAATCTGAAGTCCTCTATCTGGAAATAACAGTGCAGTATTTTATAGGAAGGGACAATTAGAAAGATGGAGATGAAGATCAGCTTCCTATTTCCAGGGTGCTACATACTGTATATGAAGATGATTCCTGAGACTCATGACAATCTCAGCTCCATCATCTGTCCCAGCCTGCTGAGGTATGTAAGATCTTGGCTTGCAAAAGGAAAGCAATAAAGGTATTTCTTCATAAAAAAATCTCCTTTCCTACCTTCTAATTGAGATCAGGACTAAATCAGTAGCTCTTTACAATCTGACTATAACTCAAATGAACAAAAGGACCGGATCAAAGCATGGTTATGCAAGGTGCTGCTGTAGTCAAACACAGCTTACTAAATATTTAAGACATATAAAGATAAACACGCAGGTCTGTAAATCACTACAAACCAAAACGGTTAGCAAGATCTCTGCAAATGCCTCCTGGATAAAGATACATTATGCGCTTCATTCATTTTCTAATGAGCAATGTTCTGGGGTTTTATTATTATTAATTGCATATAAATTACCATGATTTTTATATCACTGGGAAAGTATTTAGCCATTCACCTCTCAGAGGAACAATGCTGAACGAAGGCAATGAATGCACGGCATACAAGAACAATGCAGAACACAGAAATTTATGCATGCCATTTAAAAGGCATGGCATTTTGACTACTAGCAAAAAAAAGCAAAAGCATGTAATAAATCTTTAATTGTAAGAAAAAAAAGTCCAATTAATGGTTTGCCAAGTCCTTGATATTATTTAAGCAAGAACATTGCCTGCTTCTGGAGTGCAAAATCTCCTTAACTTACATATCTGCATGTATCCCCAACCTCCTCTGAAGTGTTCTGCTGCAAAATTCATTGTATCCAAGATCTGCTAATCATCATCAGGAAACTCTGTTATGCATCTTAAGGACGTACTTTAGGCTCTCAAGAGGAAAAAATAAACATGTTTTATTAGCTGCTTTTGGAAAATACTGATTTGTATTTATTTAGAAACCTTTACAAGTTGCACCACTGTCAAATTAAATATTTATGGCATGATTTTCCAAAGAGTTTAACACCTGTTAAGAGTTTAACATGCTGACTTCGGCAGGAGCTCTGAGTGCCCAACATTTCTGCAAACCTCAGAAAGGACAAGGATCGGCAACGGTGAAGCAGCTCGAGCGTGGATGTTACTGCTGAGCTCTGAAATGCAACCAGGATCCTGGCCAGCCCCTACTTCCCACCACAGCACTTCATTTCAGACAACTGAATCGGCCATATTTTTACTAGAGATACCAGAAATATGACTCATTAATACCTGTCAAATCCAAATAAAGCATGGACTAAATGCCGTTAGTTAATCCTTTCCTTCACTAGTGGAAAACTTCTGCTCTTGGGTCATTAGACATCACCTCAAGTAGCAACTTACACAGAAGACTAAAAGCCGCAGTGAGTCAAGAACTGGAAAGCAAAGCTGTTGATACTAAGGGTGAGAAGTTGAAAGAGAATTAAGCTATCTTTGTAAAATACAGAATAAAGAAGGTACAGCAAAGAAAGAAAAGCTGTTTGGCACATTTCAAAAACCTGTATCCCGGTTAGCTTAGCTTTGGCTTTGGTATTTGGCATCTCAGCCAAAATTGAAGACCGCGCCACTGGCGTCACTGTCAAATGAAGTCAAAATGAGGGGTTTGGGTCTAGTCATCCTTATTTTGCTTAGTTTCTGAGGGATGTGCGCTTACTAACTCTCCAAGCTTTACATTTTCAGGTATCCTATGTCTCCTGTTCTCGTACGAACAGATGATTTCTCGCTGCCTTCCCACTCTCCCTGGTCCTTTACCAGCTCTCAGTTACAACACATGCCTGAATCTGAACTACAGTGCAAAGACACCATCTTACGTTTCATAATTAAATCCCTAAATTTCCTTGTGGCGTCATGCTTATACATCTGGAAGCAAAAGACTATGTATTTAAGGCAGTAAGTAAATATATAACATCTAAGTAAGAAATTACTATACGTAGACACGATTCAAATGATCATCCGACATGATTTCATAGACTAAAGACGAATAAAATAGTTGAATATTGCAGATAGGACACATCAATCTCCTTATACACTTTACAGCACACTACAAATCTGCCCAGAGAGTCAAATATTTTACTCATTAAAATAGTAGCTTTCATCACACTATAAAACATTTGCAAATGCAGACCAGAAAACCGACAAGCGTATTTACTGTAAAGCTTTATATTTGTTTCATCGATTAACAACAAAAGTTTGGAATAAAACTAAAATAAAAGCTAATCAAAACAGCTAGCTGTCAAAACAGATGGGAACTATATTTTTCAAATCAAGCAAAAAAGCCAAAGCTTTCGAACATTTAGTGTTGTGTCAGCTGATACAGACAACTTAGAAAGGAAGGACAGCAAATGTCAGGAGTATATGGAGAAAACGTGTCCCTGGTTGAAAGATTCACGTTTATAAATTTCCATTTTTTTTTTTTTTTTTTTTTTTGCTTCAGGATGATTAACTTGCACCAAAGTAGACCTCTGATACGTGAACTATAAATAAGATGCCGCCACAACACTGCAGGCAAAATAAATAAAAACAGAGCCCCGACATTATTTTAGCCTCAAACAAATGTTTCAGTCCCTACATTGTCTGGCTCAGAAAGATACATGGACAGTCTCACAGACAGAGAGATAAATGAACAATTGCAGTACCTTTTTCCCACACTGTTTACAGGGTTGGCTATATTCCTACTGGCAATAGATTTTCTTCTTGACAGCTTCTTGGTGTTGGTGCTGTCATCAGTGCTGTCATCCTCTTTCTTTGGTGTGTTACTTCCTTTGCTGTTCAGGTCCCTTAGCACATTATAATTAATTTTACTTGAGATTTTCTTCTGTTCTAACATCTTTTCAATTGCCTCTCCTGCTGTGCTGGCTTGAATTGGCTCCCGCTTCTTTGCAGATTTCTTTGGCTTAATTAAAATATAAAATTAGTGATGTAGATACAAACAAAGTTTCTGTGAAGCAGAAGGGCGAGCTGCAGTTCAGCAGTCCTGGCTCAGGTGCTGCTGATGCGGGGATGCAGGCGGCGCGGCCGGGCTAAGCCAGTGCTCCCTCTCCTGCCACTCAATGGGACCGAGAGGTCTCTTTTCTCCAAGAGGTAAGCGTTCATTTTTTGCCAAATGCCCACACAGTTTATTACAAGTTCTTTACTTAGTGTTGGTAATGCTGCCCAGAGAAGAGACGTGGGCCATTTCTCACGCATGAAAAAAAAAGGAGTGAACTCCTGTTACAGGAACAAGCACTCGGAGAGCATCACCCAGCACGTAAATAAAGAAATTCCCCTGCTAAAATTGCTCTTAGAGTCAAGCTGGATCATCACTCCCCTCAGCACTGACAACTCCGTATCAAAACCGCAACGGTATTTTACATCAAGTTCGAATGCGGCGTGGGAGAGCATCGACCCAACTCCTTCTCCACACTGACAAAGGCCAAGAGCGGCAGCGGCAGCTTTCTAAGCGTGGCCGGGCATTAATGCCGATGGATGGGAAGCAGGAGGCTGCAGACACGAGCGCAGCGGCAACGTCACCTGCGACTGCCCTTCCCAGGCAAACGCTGCAGGCCCAAGCCCAGCGTTGCGCTGCGGAGGCTGATGCTGCGCAGAGCCGAAGAGAAATGACATCGGAGAACATTTCTATCCATGTCCCATGCCTGGGTAGGTACGAAAAAAAAAAAAGAACCTCTGTTTCTCATTCGGCATTTTCCTTTTCAAAGGAAGGTTTTAACACCAAGCTCTGCAGGAGATTTATTTTTTAATGGATAATAGCCCCTCTGTTTACCTACATGGGTCAAGTGCTACCTTGAAATTGAAAAGCACTATATTAATCAAGTTCTACTCGAGCTGTCAGAAACAATACGGAGTTAGAGAAAAACTCCTGTGTTGTCCGAACAAAAAGGTGGGTGTTCGGGCTGCTTGGCGGTGCCAACAAGTTATACAATTTTGAAAATTGCTGGTAGACTGCCACGCCGCTTTAAGCACAGGATGAATGAGAAACTCTGAAGCATAAAACAGTGTTTCATTGTCTGGTTTTGTTTTTATTGTTGAAATACCTAGGGGAAGTGGGAAACTCTGTCTTTTGCATTAGTCAGAAAAAAAAGATAGAGGATATACGCACTAAAAACTAACATGGGTTTTAGTTGCATGTGGAAGATTTGACTTGTCACTTGCTCAATTGCACAAAATACTAACGCTGTAAATCGTGAATATACGGCCAATTAGGCTGCTTTAAACTGCTAAACATGGAGACAGGACATGCCATTTGTTAACATAACTGTCGCGTTCTTTATGAAAGGTAGAACAAAATATTCCTTCAAGTGACTGTAACAAGGATCTGTTCAGTTCTTCATAAAGAAATCATTATTGTAAGAGCAAAGAAAGCTACTGAAATTATGGCAAGTACAAACAAATTCCCCATGCACACATTAAAAAAAAAAAAAATAGGCATGTCATAAGACCTGGATTTAAATAAGCAAGCAATTAGGACAGCAATCATAAATGCAAAGAGCCAGCTCTAACTTTGCCATGCACAGAATTTTCTTGTAACAGTAATTTCAAATAAAAGTTTGGGCAAGAAAGTGTTTTACTCACCACCCGAAAAATTATAGCCTTGTATTTCAAAAACATGTAGAGATACAATAGCCTTTGCTTGTTTAGTGGTGACCTGTATCATTATGCCCATACATCCTACATGGAGTTGATCAGCAAATGTAAAATGAATTTCCAGGACATTTTCAAACAGACACAATTAGCGCACAGTTTAATACCTTGTGTTCCTTATAAATCCCAAGTTCTTTCTCTTTTGCTATTCTTGCTTCCTTTTCTGAAAGATGACAAAAGGGTAACCAGCATGAAGATTACACAGACTGCATATTTCAGCAACACTGCCCAAAAGGAGAATTTCTGTCCTATATGCTTACCTTTTTGTTCCTTCAAATAATCTGCATTTTCTTTCATCCACAGCTCTGCTTTTATCTGAGCTTCTGTTTCGTTAAGTATATACTAAAAGACAAAACAAGTTTATCTACTTTCAGAAATCAACTTGAAAACCACAGAGTGAAACTGAATTGAAAAACCACTGGCAAGGTCAAGTCACATTCTGTTTTTAAAAATACATTAATAAAAGAGAATATGACTGAGACATGATAATCAGAGAGCATTTCTAGTAAGTTCTAAAGCTAGCAAAAAACAATGGCATGTTTCTAAAAAACAGCGGTTGGTTTCTGAACTACGATGGGGTGACCAACAACCATCCAGGACCCATTGTACGTGGTCTGTAATTAACCTAAAACGATCCCGGTTTTATGATCTTTTTCAGATGATAAGAGAGAATACCACGACAACACGGTCATCTGCAAGTAATTCTGCATGTTGATGGTGGTCTGTAATTCAAAACAGTATGGGAACCATTGCCCTGTGCTACCAAAACAGAAACATGTGTCTTCTGGGTAGATTTCTGTGAAGGTTTAGGCATAGTTACTGAGATTATTTGTTCAATGGCCACCTCTGTGTGAACAAACCCAGCTTAGATTGCTGGAGTTGTAGTCCTCTAGATTTCAGAGAGTTGGGTCCAGTGACCACATCTAGACTTTTTTCAGTTAACTCCCCTTAGTTTCGGTAGCAGCACTAGTAGGTGTGGAGCTGTAAAACATACCTAGAACTATTCAGATAAATTACAGAAATAAATAAACAGGTAGGTAGGGCTGGTAAGCCGGTAGACAGATAGATGTCCTCTTCAATTACTTAAATGTAAAAATAAACCCAGTATTTAGCACAACCGTCCACGAAACAGAAGTTCTCTACAGCTGATGCTTTTTGGAAGTGAAGAACTTCTGCAGAATGGACAAGACAAATTGGGTCATCCCTCATGAACAAGACACTTTATTTTTAAGCAGCAGACCCAAGACTTGTAAAACGATGCTTAAGTGCAAGAAAAACAATTTGAGATTTCTCCACCTTGTGGGTTTGAGCATTCGAGGTTTTCTCTGAAGGAAAATGTACATACAGGGTTTTACAAGAAAAATAACTCCAGTCAAATGAAACTAATGTAGGGAGGAGTCATTCCTCTGAGGGCAAACGAGGCGAGCTAAAAGCTGTGCAACTCCTGGTTTATCAGACTAATATTTTCACTCTTTCATCTACTTCCATTAAAGGTGAGCTGTAATAGTAAAACTCACTTCCTCCTAGCTCAGTTATTCATCCTTCTTATGCTTTTAGGGAGTTCATAATCTTGGGCTTACAATATTACAGTCTATTGCCGTGGAAATGAACATGAGGTCATAAAAGCAGAGTTATGACCTCATTACAGAGCCTAGGAGGAGGAGAAAATGTGCTTGTTCTTCCCTCACGATTGTTTAAATTATGGACCTGCTATATTGAAAACCTTCAGCCTCCCCGCTCCCTCCATACCACATCCGCTCGATTCACAAGACCCCTCCTAACGCCCAGCCTAGCAAAACCCACTTCACGGGTGGAGTGGAGCTGAGCATTTTCCTGCTCCTTCATCTATCACCAACAACGTTCTGCAGATCAGTAACCCCTGCGCGACCTCATCGCTCTCAATGATTCTGTACCCCAAAAACGAGTTTTAGCATTGGCGTTATCTGTTCAAATGACACTTTAAACCAGCGTGGTGGCTGGAGGGGACATCATGCTCGGAGTCAGGAGAGCAGGACTCTGTCATATGTTCAAGCATTGACCTGCTGTGTGGCCTTCTTTTCTCCAGCTGTCTGTCCTATTCAGGCTATATGGTAAAGAGTATATTTTGCTGCCACACAAATAATAATAAATCCAGAAAATGTTATAGAAATCTTTGAAAGAACACAGAAGCTGCACATGCTGGTTTTACAGTTTGGTTTCCATGGCAGCCTCCTATGTTGAATATATCTTAATTAAATAATGAATTTAGAGCTCCACCAAACTTTTAAAAGTCCTTCAGAATAAAAGACATTCTAAAACACAATTATTCCAGCACGGTAAGAGCGAGCAGCAGCAGCCGTCTCATATATATATATATAACCTGGGCAAGGAACACCAAATTCACAGGCTTGTGTGAACATTAGTTTTGATCTCAGATCACTGAAATCACTCAAACCTCTCTATAGACCAGAGCGAAGAGGCAGTGAGGGGAGAGGATAAACCAGGTAAGAACTATTTTGTCTTTCTCGGCTATCCAAGAGCAGAGACACCCAGGATAAGAGGACACCTTACCCGATCTATTTCACTGTCGTCGATCCCACTCAGGTCTAATTCACCGTCTCCTGTATTCTCACCTACAAAAAAAGAACACTTTAATTAAGTAGCTGTTTGTTCAAAATCAATCGCAATTCAAGGTCTACAGTAGAGTAACACTTAATGATCGTCCTTCAGAGATTTGCATCCTTCCACATTCAGCCAGGAGGTTTAATGTGTTGCTGAGTATTTTCAATATGGGGGTACACGCACGCACAAATTCACTATGCTGAATTAATTTAAAATTCAGGAATCAGCATGGTCTTCTTCAGTACTAAAAATCTGTTGGACACTTCCAGTTGCTTTTTTTCCCCACTTTAATTTACAGCCACAAATGTTCAGCGGGAAGCTGAGGAAACCATTTTAAAAAGATGAGCATTTTTCTTTCATCATAACATGAATTTCTCTGTCAAAGCCTATAGGTCAACGATTCATCAGTAAATTACGACTTAGAAAATGTTTTCTGTTTTCAGGGAAGCAGTGTGGAACAGTGAATAACACATCATGCTGACAGTCATACCATGGCTTTCTTCTTGGTTCTAGTCTACTCTCATTTGAACCGCTTACCTCATACCAGTTCTGTAAAAAACATGTGTATTAGTTTTTCTATCTGTAAAATGGGAATTATTAAAATATTTCCAAATTTAAAAATAATTTTTAAAAGCTGTGGAAGGGTCTAGATAAAGATTAAACAATAATGACTTCCTGTAGTTATAATTTCACTGTAATTTTTCTAGTTTTGTATTTATTAAGACTTCTTCTGAGAACACTTTTTTTAATCTTCTCTCCATTAAAAAGCGTAACAGGACAGATCTGAGGCCTAATTTGGAACTGGCACAATGTACAACAGCAAAATCTGATTTTCCACATCACATTAATGTACAGTAGTAATACACTATTAATGTAGTCTAGGTAGAGAAGAAAATAAATTATTCAACCAAGACTTATGCTGGGGAATGAAGCAATCATCTTCTTGGTCACGTCCATTAAATCTAATCAAGACTAGACAAAAGATGACCTAACCGGTTTACTTGCAGAAAAAAATTAAACAAATTAAATTTCAACAATCTGCAATAACAAATTCAAACTGAAACGGTGCAGAACAGCTTGGCATCTTCACGGTTCCTGCTTCCCAGTCCTGGGGACGTGCCTTCCCACACACCAAGACCTTTGAATTGTTTGATTCCCCAGTCTGGTGCTTTCTGGCGGAGGGGGAAGGCAGCCGCAGCTCTTTGACCCAACGGCAGGTTATGGCAACGTGGAGCCTCGAGGCCTGAGGAGCACCAAAGGGTGAAGACAAGCAAAGGTAGGAATTATGAGCATTCCCAGAAGATACGAACGATGCTCTGCTTGGCAAAACTCAGGTGTTTAAACCAGCTGCCTCAAGTACATGAAACCACAGGGTCAGGAATCCCACCACAACACCTGTTTAGGAATAAAGGCTGTGGATCTTGCGGTGGTGCAAAGGATCTGGCTGCTCAACCCAACAGACATTTATTGGAATCAGACACTGACCGCTTACAAATGTTTTCTCAAACTCCACCTTAAACAACCAACAGAAAGTTTTAAACTCTTTCCATACAAAGTCATACATGAAACGGGTTTCATCCCAAAGAAAATGTCCTTTCCTAAGGAACTGCATAACACTGCGCTTTGATTTTCTTCTGAGATTGTCTCATAAACGTAATATCAACTTTACCAATTCAGATAGTCTGATGCAAATATGACTGAAAAGGCCTTAAGGAACACTTTCTCATTGCCGCTACATTTAGAAATTAACTGTACTTTAGTCCCAGGCACCAGATTTACTTTACTTTTTCCTCAGAAACACTTTAAAAGCGTAAAAGCTTTTATAATGACTATATAATTGTTCAGTACATATGCTTCTGGTCTGATCTCTATAGAGTGCAGTAAGAGCAGAACTTTCTGCACCAGGGCCATCGGCTCCTCATGCAGGCAGGGATGTGACCCGAGGACACGGCAAAGCACGCCTTGGCTTGAGGCTGGAGAGAAAAAGCAAGGTGGCAAAATATATCCTGGTGGTTTGCTGCCTCTTTAATATAATCCACTGGATTTTTTTTTTTTTGTTAGCAAACTGTAATCAGCGCAGAGAGGAAGCATCATATGTCACATCGCCCACGGGAGTCCAGGGTATTCTGCAAAACAGCACGACATGGTTCTGCTGCTGGAACCGAGATAGAAATTTCCAGTGAGCAAAATGCTTAAATATTCACCGAGGAAAGGAGTAAATACTGTAGTCTAGTGTCTGAGACGCCTTCCCAGGAGACTGTGCACCTCAGTCCAAGAAATGTTTCATTACACAAAATAAAATAGCTCGAGAGCAGAGTGTAAGAGTGTGCCCTGTCTCCTGGGTCAGAAGGAGTTCATACAGAAATGGGACTTGAACAGGGTCTCCCATATTCTGGGTAAGTACTTTAACCACTAAGCTGTAGGACAGAAGGGAGCAGGGTCTTCCCTCTCTTTGTGTTATCTACCTTTCATTTCCTCAAGGTTTTGAAGGAAAAACCTCAACTTTCAATTTGTTTTATCTGAGCAAAGAGAGGATTCATTTTGTTTTGGTTTTGAGGGTTTTTTTCATATTCTTTGCACCAGATAAACTAATATATCCACTATTTACACAGGCTTGGAATTAGGGACAAAGAAAAAGGGAGCCAACCTCAAAAATCACTAATAAGTTCTGAAAATCGCAGGCTAGACAATCAAAATTTGGAAGTGGTGACAGAACGACCCTGGACTCAAGTCTCTGCTCAACTTCACATAAAATTCTGCACATCCCAAAATTATTTGTTGCAAAAACTGCCACAGCATCTTAAGAACAATAAAATTATCCCACTAAATTCAAGCTACCACTGCTTTTATTCATCATTAAGCACCTCACTTCTCCTATACTCTACTGTATTTTTGGATCAGAGGTTTAAAATTTAATATGTCACAGTACAGTAGGTGTCTGTTCCCTTATACAGCCCTAATATGCCAGACTGAAAATGATGTAATTTCAGGCACCATGAACAATTTCACATGTCATTTTAAATATAACTTGTTACTGAATTAGGTGCCAGTTTTTCTCATTGGATCAATTAGCAACAGGGATGGAAAACTCATTCTCCAACTGGTAAATTGCAGAGAAGAATCCAGAAGCAAGTTATACATAATAAGCATTTCTTAGACCCCATAACGGCAGTAGAGGGAGTAATTGCAGGATATCCCTCTGCCTACAAGTCGTCCTTTTTCCTGCCAAGGCGATAGGCATTCATTAAATGCGAGGGGCTTTTCAGAAGAGAGGGTGCCTTCAAATCCCCAGTTTAATGCTTTCACTACGGAAAAAAAATACGTGTTTTGTTACAGAATGCCAATTCAAAACAGAATACATCTGTTTTGATCTGAAAATGTCTCCGGCAATCACTTCCGACATGGCTAGACCCTACCAGCCACAAATATCTGTCCGCTCAATGTTACACGGCTCACTCCAGGGCACGGAAAGTAAATCCCTTGCTCTTTTATATACCAGAAAGATCTTCCCAGCTGCTAAACTTTTCAAAACTATTCCTAAATGATGATTTTCTCCTTTAATAAAAGGGTCGAAATGAAATGTTTGACGAAATAAAAACACAGATGTGGCCAACATCTGGTCCAACCTCTTAAAAGCTTATTTAAAAGCAATGGCATCACGTGGCACGGGTCTTAGACATCACGGATTTCTTCTGTTAAGAAAAACAACCACTTTACTGCAGGGAACAGGCAAAAAATATGCTGGGCGTTAAAACCAACAGAACTCCCCCAAATCCAGTTCTTAAATGAAAGTACCATTGGGAAGA